GTTGTGGGTGTGTTCGCCCAATTTGAGTGGCAGCAGCGCGATGCCTTTGATGAAATCAAATACAGATTTGACAAAGTGAACGGCGACAATTGTCCTATACAACATCTTAGCGATCTTTACTTGCCAGAGGATACAGTTTCCCACAAGCCGGACATTAAGGAGATCAACATCAATCCGATATTTCCAAATCGCACGGCGCTGCTTCATTTACATAATATGGCTATGAGCCGCAGCTTCTTTTGGAGTTATATACTGCAGTCACGTTTTATACGCCCAGCCATTAATGACACCTATGATCCTGGCATGATGTATTACTTTCTCTCCACTGTCGCTGACGTATCAGCAAATCCGTACATAAACGCGTCAGCAATTTATTTCGCCCCAAACAGCTCCTACACGTCATCCTACCGGGGCTTCTTCAATAAAACATTCCCACGTTTTGGACCGCGAACATTTCGCTTGGATGATTTCAATGATCCAATTCACTTGCAAAAAATTTCCACTTGGAATACATTCGATGTACGTGATTTGGGGGCGCATCCTCCAGATACGAAATCACAGGATTATACATCAGACTTGTATAAAATAAATGAGTGGTATAAGACATGGCTGCCAGACGATGTAGAAGGTAGGCACGATACCAAAACTACATATCAAGTTGAAATACGCTACGCCAACAACACAAATGAAACGTTTACATTTCACGGTCCCCCCGGGGCCGATGAAAGTCCAGGCCCAGTAAAATGGACACGCCCTTATTTTGATTGTGGTCGTTCCAATAAGTGGCTTGTCTCTGCTGTGGTGCCCATTGCTGACATTTACCCTCGACATACGCAATTCAGACACATTGAATATCCCAAGTAAGTACTTACAAACAATTAGTAATGAAATGCAAACAGGTTTTGCTAATTGCATATTAAAATATCACCCCTTTATAGGTATACTGCTATTGCCGTACTGGAAATGGATTTTGAGCGTTTGGACATAAACCAATGTCCAAAGGGCGAGGGCAATAAGGGGCCAAATCACTTTGCCGACACTGCGCGTTGTAAAAAAGAAACTACCGAATGCGAGCCGCTGCACGGTTGGGGCTTCCGGCGTGGCGGCTATCAATGTCGATGTAGGCCCGGTTATCGATTGCCGAACGTTGTGAGGCGGCCGTACTTAGGTGAAATTGTTGAACGTGCATCAGCAGAACAATACTACAATGATTATGATTGCCTCAAAATCGGATGTAAGTGTGAAAAATGTCACTGTCAATGCTATTTTCAGAGTATTTAGTCGCTTATGAGATTTGTTTGTATATTCACTTTTTTTGTTCTTATTGTCTAAGTGTCAATATGCTCGCACCATTTCCGCTTTTGTTAAAACACTATTCTGTTGTCTGTTTGCTCATAGGGGTGCAAAAAGTGCCTATACAATGGGAGCGTGTATCATACGACGTGCGTGAGAAATATTTAGATTTACATCCGGAATATCGCAATTATACTACCGGCTCCCGTGCTTTGCATGCAGAACATATTAATATTGATCAGACGCTCAAATTCATACATGGCGTAAATTATCGCACGTGTAAGAAGTGAGTAATTTTTAATTTTTTTTTTTTTTGTATGAAATATTATGACTTAAATCTTTTCTTTATTTTGCATTAGTTTCCATCCGCAAGATTTGATATTGCGCGGCGATGTCAGTTATGGAGCAAAAGAACAGTTTGAAAATGAGGCTAAAATGGCTGTCCGTTTGGCGAATTTCATTAGTGCATTCTTGCAGGTAAGTTTGAGTTGATTTAAAATATGGTTATTTGAAAAGATCTAAGAAAATAATGGGAAAGACACATTCATTCACAATTTTAGAAGTTTAGCTATCCGTTAAGACTAAACAATATCATATTCTTATCATCGTTCCCACGACAGTCGGGTCTACGTAACCGGAACGACCCAGATTTATATTTGGCCAAGGACTGTCAATCCAGCAACACTCCGCAAAAACTTTTTGGGGAATTTGTATGCTGCTACAACAACAAAAACAACTAAATATAATTATCCAGCTTATTAATTGTGCGATGAAATCTGAATTACTTCCATTACTTCACTATAATATTAAACGTGGGACATAATTTTGATATAAAATGAATTGTTATGTATTACAACGCCTTTTCATGTTGTTGTTGTTGGAGCAGCATACAAGTTCCCCAAAGTGTCTTTGGGGAGTGTTGCTGGAGTGTTTTCTTAATCATACATCTTTGAAGTATTTGCTTAAGGTTTATATCAAATATGTCTTGTTGCAACTTAAAATGTTTATTGAAATTCATTTATAATTGTAAATGAATAAGCCCTTCTAGTAGGCATGCAAGGAAACACCTTTTTCAGCCCTTCTTGTGTAGGCCTCTTAGAATGTCTTTACTTAAGAAGGCCTACCTAAATTATCTTCTAGGAAGTTAGAAAAACTGGCACTGAAGGCAATAGGATCTAAAAGAGTGAAATCGGGAATTGTATGGAAATTTCGCACCACGCTGGCGTCACTGAGCCGTAGAGGGACATCTATACTGTGTTCCCGGACATAGCCATATAGAAGGGAATGAGATGACCAGATGCGGCTCAGAGAAGCCAATAGAAGAAGCGAATAGGTCCGTACTACTACCGTTTAATGATCACGTTAAGAAAATTAATGAGTAAACCGTGGCAGTGGCGAATGACTTGTGGAACAAACGGGAGGACTGTGAGACCACAGAAGTCCTTACCGGCATCAACATAGGACACTGTGCTATAGCACCAAGGCGTCAACGGTGGCAAATACCAACAAGTACTCTCTGCAGAGGCTGCCATGATGAGGATGAGGAAGAGTCAATTGGCCACTATCTGTGTCGATGTCCAGGTCAACAGACGAAGCGACTCAAGCACTTGGGTTCACCCTCCCCAATATTCTGGGCGAAGTAGCAGATGGGGAACTGTTGGATCTTCTCGGCTTCATAAGGGATAGTAATTGCGATAGTAAAGTAATGACTTAAAGCTACTCTTTCGATTTAGGTACGTGTCTCCCTCGACACTCACTAAAGGAGGGAACTCACAACGGACAATTCTGTCTCCGAGTGAAAGTATGGAATATGCCACACACGCACTCCTAACCTAACCTATCCTAGAGAACTGGCTAAATGATCTATATATATCACTTTTACCACGCAGTTTAATATCTACAATACTTGAGTACAAGGCCGTTTCAAGTAAAGAGGAGTCCAGCCTCAAGGTCGTCAAAAGATGAGCTAATATACTCCGTATTTCCAAAAGCTCTTCTAAACTCTCTGAGAAATTAAGAATTAGAAGTGTTGCCTTTAATATTTAACTAGTTTCTTCCCCAGTACTTATCTAATTTTACGACTTTTATAATAATAATCGGAAGTTTCAATATATTATCTCTTTGTATTTCTGTAAAACTTTAAAGATTGGACGATTTTTTCAAAGCATTTGCTCATTTTTTCATCTTTAAAAGTTTAATCATTTCCTCATTTTATACCGTAAAATAACAGGTTTCAAATATACGTTACACAACAGCTGTTCGCTTAACTAATAATTCTGCATTACCTAGCGAGCCTCATTAAATTCTACAAATATTCCTTCAAGTGTGAACTATGATTTTCCACGCCTAATTCAAGTTGCTCAAATTTCCGGCGTAGCCACAAGCATATTGTCGCCTTGAAAAGTTCATAAAATTAAATATTCAGTGTCAAAGCAACATCATTGAAATGCTAAAATCATTAGTGCAAGAAATAATAATAATTCCAGAAAAACATGTTTATCATAATTTTATTTGCACAAGTTGGCGAAACAAATGATGTTGTTGAAAGCGTAAATGAGTATAAATACAGATAAAAATTAACCAAAACCTGCATTTTTGTATATTAGAAACAAAAACAAAAAGAGATCCTAAGGATCAACATGTTATGCAAATAAAAGCACAAGGAAAGACAAAAATTAGAATGTTAGACATCGCATTTGTACGCAGCCATAAGGTCCAATCGAACTAGTTTCACTCACATCCAACTGCCCTACACACATTTATTGCGTCTACCATGAAAGCTATCACACATCTACAGCAAATTTACTATTTATCTACTTATTCATGCTCTCTTCCCCATTCTCTTCCCTCCATAGATTTCTGATCCTAACGAGGTGTACACCGGCAAACGTGTGGCCGACAAACCGCTGACCGAAGATCAAATGATCGGCGAGACACTGGCCATTGTCTTGGGCGACACAAAGGTCTGGTCGGCTGCCATGTTTTGGGAACGCAACAAATTCACCAACCGCACCTATTTTGCACCATACGCGTACAAAACCGAATTGAATACACGCAAATTTAAAGTCGAAGACTTAGCACGTCTGAACAAAACGCACGAAATATATACGGAGAAGAAGTATTTCAAGTTTTTGAAACAACGTTGGTCCGCCAACTTTGATGACCTAGAAACGTTCTATATGAAAATGAAGTTGCGTCACAACGAAACAGGTGAATATATGCAAAAATACGAACACTACCCGAATTCGTATCGTGCGGCAAACCTGAAGCACGGCTTTTGGACACAACCGCAATTCGATTGTGATGGCTATGTGAAGAAGTGGCTCGTGACCTATGCGGCACCCTTTTTTGGCTGGGATAGCCTTAAAGTGAAACTGGAATTCAAGTAAGTGGAAGTAGAATCATAGAAAAAGATATACATACATAATTTGGCACAGAGCAGGACAACCGGATTTGGTTTTATTTGTTATGACGAGTTTGCATGAAATTGTTGTTGTGCAAGGATTTTTTTACAATGCATGCTTGTATGTAGTACATAGATGTGTATCCTTTTGAAAAATGAATTATTCATATGTTTTGTTTGTGGCTTTGAAAGTCACTGCACCGTTTGTGCAAGTGTACTATAGAAATTCGGGGCAAAGCATTCAGCTAATTTCAATAACAATTAGCGATTATATGGGTCAGGAATTATGCGTTGTATGCGCGTTCAATTGAATACTCTTATAATGCAATTAAAATGTAACATTTGTCATTTTTTAGGGGTGTGGTTGCCGTTTCGATGGATATGTTGCAATTGGACATTAATCAGTGCCCCGATTGGTTCTTTGAACCCAACGCTTTCAAAAACACGCACAAATGTGATGACCGAACGTCATATGTAAGTTCAAATTATACCTGAAAATGTGTAGTCCTCCTAATGCAGGAAATAAAATTGTATACCTTTATTTGCTCAATAATTACTCTTCTATCCCACCTAATATACATTTTTCCATTAACCCGCTTGCAGTGTGTACCCATTATGGGTCGTGGCTATGAAACAGGTGGTTACAAATGTGAATGTCTACAAGGCTACGAATACCCCTTCGAAGATCCGATCACCTACTACGACGGTCAACTGGTAGAAGCTGAATACCAAAACATCGTAGCCGATCAGCAATCACGTTACGATACATTCCACTGCCGTTTGGCTGGCGCGCCTGGATTGCAAGCCGCCATCTCGCTAATCGTATCACTGCTTGGGTTAACGTTAATATTAATGTATAAGTTCAGGTGAAGAAACTGTAGCACATGCGGTGGCGGCGGCAGCGGTGGCATTTTACAAACAAGTGCCTGAATCGCTCGTCACAGTAACAAACAATCAATACGTCCATTTTCGTTTAAGTACTACATAGTATGTAAGTAAGAGTATTTGATAGCTAAAAAAGTGCATATAATCAACCATAGAATTATCTCTTCTGCACAAGAAGTGTGAATGCCAAGATATACATCCATATATAACTATATACATATGTATATACATACATAAGGAAATGCGTATGTAGAATATTTTTATAAGCTACCAAGAATCTCAAATAACAAAAAAAAACACACACTGCAAAAACATTCCTTCCGTTCATCCTGCCAACAACAGTATTTGCAAATAATAAGCGAAATATTTACTATCAAAGGCTGCGGTATGAGCAGCAGCAACGTCGCTAACAACAACAACATCAATAGCAATACAATGGGGAAACGTGAGGAGTGCTGAGAAACAGTGTCATCATTTATCCAAGGCGATTAAGTTGTAGACATAATCTATTACAATGCATCTAGTTATTTGTCATTTGTTGTATAGCACAGCAGCGAGATGAGGAGCAGAAAGTAATCGACAGGCAACAAGCAGTGGTATAATCGCAGAAGAAAAGCGCAAACGTGCGTTAAGCAAGCAGCAACTTCAGCTTCGAATTCCGCCTTCAGAGCTCATATTACCATCAATAGAAGGCACGAAAATGCAAACGGGTAAAGCATTTGAGAAACTACAAAATTGGCAGAGTTCGCTGAGCGCAAATTTAACAAAAACACTTTGGCATAGCAAAAGCGACAAAGTTCGCAATAAAAGAAAACCTGTTCAATCAAAAGCCAAATAAACTAGCTTTCTTGTGTCTCTCTACCACACGCTTACTACAACATCTCGCGACTAATTCTCGCTTCTTCTTTTGAGCAGCTGAGCTCAAAGAGAGTACATTTAGAAACATAAGCGCCTTGAAAGGGTTGAAAATATGGCCACTGTGCCGAGTCTCAATTGAAAACTCTCAGTCTTTATTTGGCCATGCCATTCAAAGTTGTGGTCGCAAAGTCTTAGACATTCAGAGGCGATCAAAGCTGAGTGTGCCCATTGTTGTTGTTGCTGTTGTTAGTGTTGGCTTGCTGTCAGCCTTACACCCTTCTTTCTATGAACTGTCCACACAACGAGATGCGCTTACTGGCATGCCAAATCGCCGGGTCGTCCATGCGCATGTCCGTCTGCGTGTATGCCTTGTACCTTAGACGCTTTTTAAGGTGTGCGAGTGTGTTTTTTACATATGCCCTCCTGTGCTGTCTGATTCGCTGATGTGTACTTTTTATGCGCCTCTTTCCTTGTTTTTGTATTTTTCATTATTTTTTGCATGAATTAAAATTTTTTCATAGTTGATTATCAAATGTGCCTGAATTTTTATTATCTTCAATTGCACCCTGAGAACCTTTTTTCCTCTGCCGCCAGTAGTGGCGATTATGCCTAGCAAAAAAACCAGTTCAACACTTGGTCCGGCAAAAACGCCGTTACTTTTTTGAATCGGCAAAAAATATAGCGCACATAGCGTTTTTGAGTAACTTTGATATCAAAAAATATTTACGGAAGAAAAAAAAAACCCAGAGACGATGCGCATGATTTAGGCTTCGCAGTCGTCCTTCGCAGTGGTCAAAGTTTTTGCAGCAAAATATTTTCACACATTTTTCATATTTAGCGCTCGGTGATTGACCACTAGAAGGAAGAGCGTCGTGTTCGCTGCCTAATCGGCAGTCAGGGAGGGAGGCAGACAAGCAGGCAGGCAGCCAGACAGGCAGGACGGTGATAGGTTTGCATAGCAAACGAGTGGTACCTCCTCCTGCTGCTTTTATTTTTTATTACACTCCATTTTATGATTAGTTTTTGCACCGCTTTCTGCTAAGATGCGCTTCGTGGTCTATTGTATTCGCGCCACCAACGTGCGGCGTATGGCTCACAGCTGTGCGCTGCTTTGCAATACGGACCAATATGAAGATAATAATAATATCTGCACCAGTTTTTGTAGTTGTTGGCTTTGATGAAAAAACGGGTTTTGAGTTTTTTATGAACTTTATTAGTCTTTTGTATTTTTTTTTTATAATTGCAAGACTTATGACCACAAGAATGCTTCGTAATACAATATTGCATTTGGAATACCTATTCTTGTGCTATTCAGTCGATATTTTTGCAAACAAAAAACTTAACTCGTACATACGTTTAAATAGACTCCGTCCAGAAGAGAGATACAAAAGGACATGCATGTGTATGTAATCTCGAATATCGAATCATATAAACAATTTTATACATTTACAGACATATTATATAGAATTTTACACGTATCAATTATGTGCCTTTTTGTTGTAAACCAGTTAGTATAAGCTTTTTACTGACTCGAATTTCATGCAGTTATGTATGTACATATGTAATATTAAAAATATGCATAATTTATTTAAGGGCCAGTTTTGAGTGAAATTTCATTTACCGACTTAAAACTAAAAGTAAATTTAATGCCTGAACCTGCTGTGTAAAATTAAGTTCAGAGTGCTTAAGAATTGGGGCCATGATAACCAGGATCAGCTTTTTTTACTTGAATTACATACACCCACAAACAAAAAATATGTGACAATTTGTTATATTTTTTAATTACATCCTTTTAAAATTTCACTATTTTGAAATATATGTATACTTTTACTCCCAAAATTGAGCGTACGGATCTTTTTTTGTTAATATTCGCAATGTTTTACACGCAAAACTTTTTTTTTTTTTTAATTTTGTACTTAAATATGGCTTATATTTTAGCAAACTCCATTTAAATCCAAGAATGATACTGTGTACAAAAATTAAGAAAAATCTACAAAGTATCAGCAAAATCGCGACCTTTTTATAACGAATTTCTAAACACAAATCAGGTATGCAGTTTTAATTTTCAAATTTTTTTATATGAAAAAAATGCGTTGGACAGCCAGCAAAAAAAATCTCTAAAATTTACGCGAATTTTTAGACATCTGAATTTGCACATTATTAAACTCAAATTTAATGGGCTATAAAACTGCATACCTAAATTATTTTTGGAAATTCGTAAAGTTGGCCATTTTGCTAAAACTTTGCAGATTTTTCTTATTTTTTGTACACAGTCTCATTCTTGGATTTAAATGGGATTAAAATACAAGGCATATTTTAAAACAAAATTGACAAAAAAATTTTAGCATGTAAAACATTGCGAATACTAACAAAAAAGAGCCGCACGCTCAATTTTGGGAGTAACAGTACATATTATGTACTTTTTTTTTATATTTAAATCAGAATGTTAAAGAAAAAATATTTTCGCATTCATAGTTAACATAAAGTCGACACTTAAGTACTTTGCCGCTTTTTGAAATAAATTTCAATGGAATATCTGTTAAAAAAAACTGAAACTAATTTCGAATAATCGACTTAAGTTTGACCGAGAATATGGCCAAATATTAGGCTACTTTCGTTCTCATGGTCTCATCAGAAGTTTCACTGAAACACTTGCAATTAAAATGCTATAAATTATATGTTTATATAAAATCATGTTCAACTTTTTTGTTTTATAATTGTACAACCATTTTATCAGAGCTTGAAAATATCGAAAAACGATATCTTTTGGACAATAAAAATATTTGAAGTAAATTAACAGTGGTTTTACGTGTTTGTTAGTTTTGTTTTAGTAGATTAGATTAGATTAGATTCTATGAATATTTCATTATTTTGGGTTTTTAAACTGTTCCGGCTAAATACATTTTTTTTATGCTATGGCTTGATTAACGCAATTGCCAAGGCTCTAATCGTCACATACGATATCGTCTTACTGGTCATGTAAAAATACATTTTTCGGATTATAACATAAGTGAACGTACTCTTTATCTAATTCAGCTCATATGACTGACCTGTCTCGTAATTTTCTTTCGTATGGTTTTCGATTCGTGAACGGATGTTACGTGTCCAATCTGTGTCCAATCGAGACTTTAAGGTCAATTGTTAAAAGGAAAATTATACTAGTTAATCCTAAAAATAAAGCAGAATTTTCGGAGAATACCCTGCAGGTCTAATCAATTTTACTAAAGAGCACATTTTGAAGTCTATCCCGCCTATTATGAGTTTTCATAAGAATCGCGAAAATCGCTTGCAAGCGTATCGTATGAAATCGTATTATCATTTTCATACGCCCGACAGATGTTTCGTTGTGAATGGCTGTGGTTTTTTTTTACTTCTTATTGAGAACCAGCACAAATCAGCTACGCAGACTACCGGATTTCATACGACAACATCGATTCGGACGAAATAATAGGAGGGTATGCCAGTTCATGCCTAGGGGATGTTTAGATGTATTAGCCAACAAGGAGTTCGTCTAACATTTAGAATTTTAAATACTGATTATTTCGATTATGACAGCAAATTTCTATTAGTATAATACTTGAATTATATGTACTAATCTTCTATTGAAAGGATTTAAATATTTGTTTTGAAACTGTACTCCAAACTCGTAAGATCGTTTTACTAGAATTACATAGCTCGATTATTGAATATCGGTTGCAGACCCCTCTACACAAGACAATTCATTTCCTTTTATAATTTGCCAAAACAAACTAAACCAGAATCGTAAGATTTCGTCGCCTTAAATTTTCAAATATATATAGACACATATCAGTATTTACTTACCGTACTTATTCATTTTGTTGTTCCTGAAATAAATCTCTTCCAAAGCAATAGTCGTAAATGTTGATTGGTAATTGTTGAAATTATTTCGCCGATTCTTAAAAAGTGGTAGTTTTTAAATAGTTTATTATTGATTTTTTTAAAATTGTATAGCAGATGAAGCTTGAAGAATTTGAGAAAGCAGAAGATTAGAGATAGTTGAAATGTTTTTTAAAAGGAAAATTTGCAATTTTTTTTGTACAGCTCTTCTGCTATTTTGACTGTTTTTTTTCGGTTAATTTTTAACGATTCGTGAACACAATGCAGGAAAAAACGCTCAAAACAACAACACCAAACAAACTGCAAAAAAATCGTATTTGCTTTTCTCGTTCAATTCACAAATTGGATTTGTTTTCTGAATTCCGCTATAATATCCATTAAATTTGTTTATAATTTTGGCGAAATTTTGATGGATCTATTTTTTTTAAAATATTTTTAAAGCGTTTTTGAATTTTATTTGAAAAATTTGTTTGCTTTTGAATTTATGAATATTTTTTCTCAAATGAAACCATTTTTTCACGGGGAACTATGTTCGATGTGTCGGTTGCAAAGGTAAAAATTTCAAAGTGGAAAACGTGAAGAAAATAAAACAAGCGAAAATGTGGAAATCAAAATTGATATATTTTAAGATATCCTGCTATGCATAT